TCGTCAGCCCGATATCCGAAAAAAATTATAGAAAATAGGCCATAAAATTAAAAAATTAAGTTTATTGCAATTTTCATGATATTGCTTTTATCGTAATTTCGCTGTTAATCTCCAATTTTGTCTTTCTCCTGTTCATATGAACGCGTCCAGAAAAGTAGCTGGGCACGTAAATCCTAGCAATAAATCTGCCTCAACGGAAGCTACTCATTTTAATGATTATGAGCAGAAACAGCGGTAGACGTATGTAGAGAATGGGAAGCTGCTAGCCTATATTCTGTGATGGAGACCGAAAAGAGCGCCAAACGGACGGCATACAACTGTATTTAGATTTCATTCACGCCGAAAGGATCGGATATGACCGAAAAACTACATTTAAGTTTGCATAGCATGAAAATATGCATTGAAGTCTTAATCTTGCGTTAGATAACGCATCTATAATAATAATGTTTTGTTATACATTTGTGGAGTAATAAACGTCCCAAAAATATTATTATCATTCCAGTGACTAAATAACATCGAGGTTTGAGCCCTTGCCTCAAGGGCCTGGATGAAATTTGGTTGGCGGCGGTTTCGTGAGTATGGTTAGTCGTCTGCACTTGTCGAAGTCTGGGAGCCAGAAGGCAAGCCTTTGGCCCGTGCCGCTAGTTAAATACATTCTGGATAACAAGACTCATCAAATCCGCACAAAGTATGAGTTTACGTGGCTCCTGCATTCGTATGATTCGCTGACTAATGCCTCCGTCGTCAATCTGTGAAGCCAATGTTTATCTTGTTTATCTTATTTATCTTTATTTATCTTGTTCTTTATGATGATTCTGGAATGTTCGTATCATCGGAAGGAGGGAGTTACATTGTTTGGCTCCATGCTGCACAATCGCAGATGTCATCTCGCATTGTTCCTTGAATTTTTTTAGGCGAGGATTTGTTTTCTTCCTGACTGCTTCGTTACAACGTTGATCACGCTGGTTTGCGATCATCCATCCGCACCAGCTTGACAGGACTTCCGGTCTAAGTGTGAAAGTGTTTCCTGATTCTACTATGCAATATGTCCCGCAGTTACATTGAAATTTGTAAACTCAGCCTACAGAGTGACTATTCTCAGAAATATTCAATGATGCATTAATCATAGAAATTTCTTGCATAACAGTGACATCTGTTTTAGAGTTCGGTTAATTTTCTAGCTTTTCACAAAAGCTTTTAATGATAGGTGAGAATTAAATAAGGTTTTTAATTAGTCTTGTTTGTGCTACAAAAAAATTTAAAGTGGCATATTCTACAGATCATAAAGCCACTAATGAGTTTAATTGAACAATTATTATTATTGCATAAGGTAAATTAGATGTTCTTTAACTCATTTTTGAAAAATTCATTACCATAGTGCTCTGTCTATGAAAGCTGTATCCACGGAGCTTTTATTCCTTAAATGACTATGTCATTTAAGAATCTGTCAGTGCTACAAGGCATACAAAAAATACTAGCTTTTTGGCACCTACTACACTTAATTTTTCAGGCATAAACAAATGTTGGACAGAAGATCTTTTCGTTTCAATTGTTAACCAACATTTTGAAGGCCATTATAGAGTTAAAGAAACATGTTTCGTCATGACTCGGACAGAGAGCTAAATTATCGTCAATATGTCGTTTGAAAACCTTTGAAAAAGGATTGGATTTGCATATCGAGCAATATTTTAAAATACTGACTGAAAGTTACGACAAAAATTGGCGAAAGTGAGTTTCCAGCGGACGATCCATTACATTGTTCGAATAATCTATAATTAAAACAGAAATAATTTATCTCTGCCATATAGAAAGTTTTTAGCTCTGAGATACAGTTAAGCGAGAGGCAAGCACGTTGTATAAGTAAGTTATCTCTTTGTAGTCGTTAACAAGTCAATTTAATATTAAGGTTAAGAGGTTTATTAAAAATTAGTGTTTAACGTCGTAAATGGCAGTAATTCGACATACAAATGGATTGATTTGTCTCAATTCCTTGTAAAACTCGTGGAGTTTTTAGCATGAGACGGGCATTTCCATTTAAAGGTCAGGGTATTTTTGAATTCAGTCTCGAAACCTCCTCAAAGAAACAATTTACACAAAAATGCTCAATTTCAATCGCTCTTAAATGCACAATACTCCAATGATTAAGTTCCTTAACAAAGAAACGAGAGACGCAGACAGTTTTCAAGGACTGTAGAACGATAAGCAATTCGTGAATAAAACAACCGAATCGAATGTCTTTCAGTTGCAGATGTTTCCTAGTTACTTGCTGACTGGTTTTGTTACCTTTAACGACAAGTTTGTTTCTCCTTCTTTTGATGCACTGAGAAGCCATCTCAAGGTGGGATGTAGAATTTGCTTTTTTTCCACGCTAACCCCGTATCATCCTCTTTCGACCCTAAGAGCAATCGAAACGACATGACAGTGTATATCTAACCACAAAGAGATCTGAGGTGTAGAAGCGTAAATCATACAAATGTGCAAGAATTCACAAATATTGACACAAGTATTTACTGTATGCGCGATAATCAAGTCTAATTCACTCTGTCATATTTTACAGTGAAACATATCTAAGCAGGTGGCACTCATACTGCGTTGAAAACCTTACCGAGTGGTCTATTCATTTAATATTCTCAGGCCATATTAGTGAGGTCCAGAATGTAGCGACTGAAATTTATGGTGATATATTGGACACGAACTTGCGTACTCTGAAACCTTACGGTAGAGTCTTGAATTACTGTTCGTAGGAATGCAATGTCCGGATCATCGAACCTGCTGTTTATTGACACATTTAACCATGAAATGGTAAGGGGCCTATGTTCTTTACTGAAATTTAATATTCTGAGTTTCAAGATATGCATCATACCCATCGTTTAGTGTAAACTGTTTTACGATATGTCAATAATTGTTTTCTTGATGATGGAATATTGGTTACTGCTGTAGGCTCGGTGTCCGACATAGGTAATCGTAGCAAGCGCCGCCTATCTCACAGGGGGCTTGCTGCATTGAGAAACAACGTAACGGTAAAACTGTTCCAAAACGACAGTAGCCGCGCGTTTATTCATCTCTTCTTTACTTGGTTGATAAATGAATTGGACTCTGTAGTAGGGAAACAGGAGACTAAACGGTACTCTTGCGATGTGGCTTCTGCGGACTTTGCCTTTAAAATAAGCTAATTCAGAACGATGACATGAAAACAGATATCAACGGCCTACCATTAACTTCATGGAAAGAAGAACTGCAGTAATGGCTTCCTTTTGAAACTAAAGAAATGCCACATTCAAGTGATTACAAAATATCCTTTCGCCTAATTGTTAGTCCTTTCTTGAGTACTTAAATGGTAAATTTGAAATCTTTAGCTAATTGAGTAAATTCTGAATTTCAATTTAAACTGGTGCCTCGCTACACAAGCCGGTGAAATGTACTTTTCGGGACAAATCGCTCTGCTCGCAGGTCTCGACCTTATCCGTAGTTCAGGTATCGAAGAGAACGATGGCATACCGCTTGTGCTTCTCCAGGCAGACAAGTCACAGCTGCGATAATGAGACAGAAGTCACAGCTGACTGACTGACTGAGCAAGTGAGTGGAACTCTGTCTGAAACACACCTTTAAGCGGAGTTATAAAGTGATAGAGTTGTTGAATAAAGTTCATTATGTTCAAATTTTCATTCGCGCTCTGCATTATTTTTCATCTAGGTCGTGAGGCCTGATCCTTTTTTGAGAGAATATTTTACCTGGTTCCTTGATTTAACATGGTTTTCATCTGAAATTCGTGTGGACGGTGGACTAGGGACCTTTCCGTTGTGGCAAGTAAATAAACGAAAGCAATGTGCTGTGCTCGCGCAGTATGCTGAAGGTTAGGTTGTGGTTGTTGAATTCATCACCTAAGGAAACAGTCTCTGCTTTGTGAAGTCCGGTTTTCTGCACTTTTGATATAAGACACTAGTTACTGCATCGCAGAAGGAGATATTCTGGATCTGCATCTTCCTTATTCCTGGATGTTGAATGCTCCCCTCCTGGTCAAATTCTGCCAAGTTTCGGCTCCCAAAGGAGAAGTTCATAGGCTGGATTAAATGGTTGATGCAGAATTAGTCTGCCTGATGTGACTTATATGTTTTCATAATCTGTACATTTTTTGAGGTCATTTTTGCTCGGACAGATCGATTATCTTTCGTGATGGCCGTGCCGACGCCTCAGTTAGTTTCTCCCAAAAGGCATTAGCAGTGTCAGCGGAATCATTACGGGCCTCGATCAGAGTGCATTTAAACGGTCACTTAAACAAGCAGGTCTGTGCTCTACATAGCTTTTCACAAATAGTTTTGAAACTAGCGTTTAAACAGAGCAAACGTATTTGAATAGTGTAACTTTGTGCAGAATGATGGAAGAGATATTTTGAGCTAGCTTTCTGCATGATACGTCCAAAATCCAAAGTGCAAAGCGTAGAATTAACGAAAGTGGCAAAGCGAATGCAAGCCCGATTCGACGGCTTGTACACAGTTACATATCCTAAAAAACGGTTGAAATAGTGCTTTCGCTCTGCTTTGAATGTTATTGGATTCCTAGAGCACACATGGGGTTACTCGCCAAAGGTCGCCATGCAGTAAATCCTTTCATGCACATTAACAGATGGTCGTATTTGGTAAAACACTAACTTAAGTTTTCCAACCATTCGGCATTTTTCTGTCATCTTGGCCGACTTTTCGTATTCGTGCGCTATATTTCAAATATTTGTTTATTCGAAGTTGAAGATTTTTGCTTGTTATTTGATAGCCGTCTGAAAAATACAGCAAAGGACGATTTATTGTAATAAAACATTAATTGCCTTCCAGCTGTAAAGGTTTGTGACAATCCACAATTGTCAAAAGATCAACAGTAAACTCAACCTTGAAGTAGCCAGAACAGATACTCTCTTGGAAGCATTAAACTACTATCGTATAGCCAACTAACTTTGGCATTCGCCACTATCATTTTAGAGTTTATATCTTTAGGGCCTTCATATTGATATGGTCAATTTCATCGATGGTCAGGCAATTATCAGGGAAATATGGATTATTCCAGGTGGCATTTCCTCTTCTTCTGACGAAGTCACTTCAAAACTGAGGTAAAATTTGCCTTTACCGTTTGGACATTTTTTCTGTGAGGGCGAGATCGTTTTTACCTTTTCAGCGTTACGTCACCAGGGTCATTTTTGCTCGAGTTCTTTGTGAACAATCTTGGCCGTCCGAAAACTTGTACATTTGAAAGGCTTGGAAGGTACTTTTACTTATACTTTTTATTCGGTTTAGAAATGAGTTATGGTTTGCACTCATAATACACAACTAAATAAATCGTTTATACATGGAGGTTTGTTTGTCTTTACCAACACAGTCAAAGTGGTTTCCTAAGTTTCAATTCGAAGTTTACTGCTAGAAGTCTTGTTATTCTTGTTATTCAGCATAGATAAAAGATAGATATTAAATACGAAATTAATAACATTTCAGTCTACATGCGTATGTCACTCGACTGCGGTTTCACAAGGAAAGGGGTGCTTTAGTAGATGCATATGGATTAACAGTTCATCGTGGCATACATTAGTGCTCAAAGATTGTCCTTTTATAGCGTTCGTTACCTTAAAGATGAATCTCCAGAATTAAATGGTTTCTTCCTGATCGTTCATTAGTTGGCCAATCAGCGATGCTTGAATCCCGCTGCGTAGGAACAGTTGCCGCGTCGGCAGTTGTCATGAGCCGAACTATTATGCAGGTACAATAGTCACCAAATACAGAACTAAGGGAAAAGTCATGTCTGACCGAAGTCAGCTACATAAGAATAACAGAATTTATAACCAAGCGTAAAGAAACATAGGACAGAAAAATAATGTTAGAAAGAGTATAAATAAACGTTGTGCATCACGTAAGTTCCGGAATCGATAATTGACCTGTCACCCAAGTGTCGAAGATGTATGTTTCAGTTGATAGCCATGAATACGAAGAAAAGGTGTCAACTTTAGGTAAAAAAATTGCAGCATTAGTTTGATTGTTTTCGCAACACGCATTTTTAATAACAATGCCATCATCCGATTGGAATGCTTGGATTAATACGTCATCTGCTACTGGCGTAAAATTATCAACGATAACTTCTTCTCCAATTTTCAGTTTCTTCACAGCAGGTCCACATTTAAAGGTTGTTCTCCTTCCCGCAATCTGTGACTGCCCTTGGCAGCATTTGACCCTGCGTGGCCCAATATCTAACTGTATGTATTTTTTGATTGTCTGTGACTCATGTACAATATATAGTCTCGTTCGATGAAAGTGAAGTATTCTGGTCCGTGGCGAAACTCGTCGTTTAACGCAGTTTTTCATAATTCCGAAAATTTTGCAACAGCAAAAAAAGGAAAATATTGGAAAAAACAAAAAAGCAAGTAATTACACAGAAATAAGAAAATAACGTCAAATAACGACGTCGAAAGCGGATAAAAGTAGATCTGAAAGTTATTGCACTTTGAACGTAGCAAGGAAATTTCTTGGTTGGCATCTGGAATTCTAAGGATTCAGCCTAAATGCAGAAGTCTGGATGTGGACCAGAGTTTCGTCTTGTGATTTGGAAGAGAAAATTATCGATGTGTTTCATGAATTTTTTTATTCAGTGGATGTTTATCATGACTGAAATTGTTAGAGCTCATTGCAAGGCGGTCAGATTTTGTCTGTTCGATCGTACGTAGAATTGCCGTTCTGATGAAGGTCGATTCGTGTGGCGAACAATTTGATCAGTGGTTTAAAGAAAGGGTGAAGTCACAGCAGGAGCCCATGAAAGACAATTTATGCTGCATAAACAGTGGGTATAGAATGCATACAAAAACGAATTATTTCAGATCTTCTTTGAATACTCCGTTTGAAGAATGAACATGGTGGCTCCTTTTCATTCTTAGTCGAGCATGTTTGTGAACAGTGAGTTCAAATTTAGAACGGCACCGAAGCTCTGTTTTGTCAGTAGCAGGAAAATTTCATAGTGTCACTAGTTGACCCATTACTCTATCTAATTTGGTGGCACTGCCCATGATTTGCGTAGTGCTCCGTAGAAATATTTCCAAGGAAAGTATCAAAAACATCATGTGAAATTGTTGGATGACGTGTAAAGAATTGTAATAATCAAGAATTCTGGGTTTACATGCAACATAGTACTGAAAGTTTTCGCCTTGAATCATGACGTAAATTCAGGGATTTTCATCATATTTAAGGTTAAGCCGTTGAAACTGAAGTATGCGTCGATGTACACCAGGAAGGACCATGTATAACTATTAACGGTCGCAGTTGAGGATTTCCTTTTCAGGGCGACTTTGTTTTTTTAGCCTTGAACCCCTAAATGGTTGAGTAATGAGACAGTAAAAAATCCTGATAATGTTCCTCATTACTATGTCAACCTCTGTGCATGACAATCGTATTCTGGTTAGCTAATACTGTATTGGACGTTAGGATATGCAGTTTTCTGTTTTGCGTAGCTTCAGATAAGACCTATGCAGTGGATAGAGAATGACGGTATAGTAGCGAACATGGAACATAATGTAGGCGTTTCCGTTCTCTTGTTTGGCATAATTCAGTCTTTCTTTTGGTTGTATGCTGTATAAGCAATTCATAAGTCCCTTGTCTCACTTTGTGTTCAGAGTAGTGTTCAAGGAGAGGAGTAAATGGAAGCTTGTAATCGTTCAAATGTTGGTTTTTCCTGCAAATCCATGATGAAAAAGGTTAGTAACATGTTTCTTTCTTCTTTTACAAAGGTTTAGATATATTTCCGATTGATGTTTTGATGCAATAAACCAAGATGGCCGTACCTCTCCGAAGGCAGTATCTATAAGCCTACAGTGAAATGCGAGGTTTGTGTCTAGAATTGTTGAAAAACTGTTTATCAGCAGCAGATGCGGCTTCATAACCGTGAATACTCAGACAAGAGTCATATGTAATGTGCAATTTTGCAAAGTGCCTAAACAAGACGGTGACAAAACGAGTCTACAAACAGTATATACAGCTTTTTGGTTGCTATAGCTTATTGTCTTGTCATTCCTTCTAACGAGTTGCTTTCTTTGAAGAAGCATTGTGGAACAGTGATTTTTCGGCAAAGAAAATGTCCAGTTGAACAAAATTCATAATATTTCTTCGTTATCGTTACGCTGATTTCTCTTGATATAAAAGTTTCGTTGCACTTTCTAATGCTGCTAGTAAAGCAGGTCCGCTGTTGATTTATGGTCGTTGTTGCAGACACTAGTAATTTTTGAGTCTAGGTGCTTTGAAGCGATCATTTTCAGCCACTCGATCTCCTTTAAATAAGAAGTCTGTCGCCGCCGATCTTTTCCCTTCGTCATCATAGATTTTTCCCGTGGTCTAAATTGGTGATGGCAATAAAAATGGAAGTTGGAGACCAGAACAAGATAACCAGAAAATCCCGCTTTTCGTCACAGTTAAAAAATATATAAAAATATATGCAAATGTTAAACAGTAAATAAATTTCTTAAATTAGACAAAGAAGTAAAACTATTGGCAAAAGTATTAAGAATATTAGATTCCTCTGCATACGGAACGACAGTCATGTGGCTTAGGAAGGAACCAGATTTTCTTAAAGTACGGATTTTTGCCAGCTTTCCCTTTTCATAAGTTTCAGATGTTAGCCATTGTCGCGATGAAAATCTCATCTCTTTACCGATCTTTTGACGAGCAACTTTTTTGTGGCTAGTAGCACGCCAATTTACTGCGGCACGCATTCAGAATGTCACAGTGCTGTCGTAGTCTGTAGTCGAAGTGGATGGCATGTTTTCATAAAGATGACATGTGCCTCTTAGCTTGATTTACGACTGTTTCATTTAACGACATTTTCAAGGTTTATAAATGGTGGATGGCATTATGCTTGATACCTTAGTGATAAAGTTTTGAAATGGTATGTAATTTTGCATATAATTTTGTAGAGTATAATTATATGAATGTCGTTTCGTTTGATTTTTTTGTAAATTTATAGCTTGGAATGCCATGGGGATTGCGAATCAAGGTTCTGCCCTTCTTTGCTTCTAAGGACTGATAAGCTGCTCATCAAGGGCACGTACGCAACGGTTACAGTTGCAGTCATTGGCGAGGTATGGCGAAATGAAGGCGCTGCGTCGTGCAGTCCTTCGACGGTGTCCAAGCTCGCCGGGGATGTGGTTCCAACTCCGGCTCATAAGATGGCGATCGCCGGTGTTCCACTGTCTTCCCCCGCTTCTTCGTCGACGCAAAAGGTAACGACTGCACTGCCGTCCAGTTGGTCTTCACCGGTCATTCAGTTGGGGACAGTCATTGCTCCGTTCGATCCGCGAGTACCTCCGCCCGTTATTCCGGCCGCTCAGACCGGACCACCAATCGCTATCGTTCCAAGCCAGTCATCATACCCGCCTCAGATCCAACAGATCTCATCAGTAAGCTGCGGTACCATTTTATTGCCGCCGGCGTTTGACCCAACGCGACCTCCGCCGGTGTTCATTAAAAAAGTTGGTCTCCGTTCTGAACGTGCACCCCACACGGGAACACAAAAACTTTTGAACAAGAAACCGGCGCAGCTGAAACCTAGCTCAAAGCATCTCACTGAAGGAAAACCGATTCAGACTGTGAGCACCGTAAAACCGGTGGCTTCTTTGCTGGTTGGTCATCAACAAAACTTGACTTTCCGAGCAACAATCGACTCGGCTGACGAAGGTTTCACTTTCAAATTTACATAATGTCGTCTGTATTGTTCAACATCTTTGTGCGTTTTTAGATTACGAAGCGTCCGAAGATTCACAAGATAAGTTCGATATCGAAAATATCAGTGAAGACGAAGACGGGTTCGAATTTGAGGTGATGTTTGTCTTAGATGTATTATTTTTTAAATCTCTGCACTGTGACTGTAGTTACCTTTTTTGGTAAAATGCTGGTTATCAGAAAGTATAAATTTACACAAAGTTCATGAATAAGATATGTAATGTGTTTTAAAAATTTAAAGAAGCAGTGATTACAATAATTGAAATGCAACCCTTTTCAGCCAAAATAATTCTTCTTTAAACGTTCATTACTTTTCTTTACTCACTTTGTCTTCGTCTAACTGTTTTCCACTTTATATTTGTGTGTGCTAAGTGCCATGACGAGATCGGTTCTATCAGTAGACTATTTCGTGCGTAGTCCTCACTTGTCGTCATGTTTAATTGCGATCTTTTACTAACATCGTTAGGATGGTGATCGTTGTTATCATTCTATAAGTCCTTACTTTCTTGGACCACATTCGTATCAAAACCATGAATAATTCCATGATCACAAACTCTGACTGGTAGCTTGCAAAACCTGGATAAGCCCCATTAAGCGCTTTATTAATACCAAGGAAATTAACGGACCAAAGAATAGCAGCAGCAAGTGGCTGTGCCACTGATGTTAGTTGATGCTACCACTGATTCCAGCACTAGTTTAGCCGGGACTGAGGAATGCCCATATTGTTTCTTTCTACCTGTCGGTCACGCGCAATGTCCTTCA